GATTCTTTTGTTTTTCTTTGTGCCCGCTCGGTCCCTCACATCTGATTTAACAATAGTGGGACAATTTTAAAAAAGTGCCTTTTTTCTCCTAAATTTGGCACAGTAACTAGGCTGGAGAAGGTTACAGAGAAAACTGTGGTAATTAGTCCACAGGGGACAGAATAATAAGACATCCCAGAACCTTTTATCTCGCAGCCACTCGGTCCCGAAACTTGATTTCATTTTTATTCTACTATATTTTCTTTTACTTTTGTTTTCATGTTGTTAAACTAACCACTTAAAGACATTTTCAATGCTCTGCAGGGGTTTTTTTTTCTCTGTTGCCAAAACTTTCAATTTGTAATCCCATTTCATCTCCAAGCACTGCATTGGTTGTGAATATCTAAATGACCAATTTCTTTTTGTTTCACGTTGCTCGTTGCTTGCCCTTTACAATTTCAAGCTGCACGTAAACAACAAGGCTGTCAGATAAGATAAAACTTTAATGATCGTTGTGTGGGGATCAGGCATTGGCGTGCATGTGGAAGAGCCTGTCATCAAAGGACACACTTAGAAAAACAATCTATCAAAGCAGCTGCCAGTTCCTACAGCCTGCAGCCTTACAGTAAATGTCAGTGGAGGTAACTTCTGTCACGCTTATAGATGTTATTGTTTTAGAATAACGGCAATATTTACCTAAAGATTTTTTAAAAAATCCAAATATTCCACTTGGGTTTTTGTTCATTGTGGCAGGCAGTGTTAGCTTCACCTCTTCCAGTTGACGTGTGGCTCCCTCTGCTGTTCACAAAGTGCCACTGCCCTCTCCCCCCACAAACATACAGTACAGTATATGGCTTGTTTGCAAAATGGCAAAAAACTGAAACTAAAAAATGGCATGTATAAAATGCCAAACAGCAATGAGAGGGAGCAACGTGAAAGAAAAAAAACACTCAACCTATCTGTATATATTTAATTTAAAATGTGATTGTATTTTATATCTTTGAATCCTCCAAACTGTATAAATGTAGGATAAAAAATAAAACTTGCAGATGTAGCTTTTACTGTATATGAATAGAACATTTCAGGTATTTTAAAGGGTTCTCTTAGGATGTACTCACAACCACCAGGTCTTAGCAGTAATAGTATAAATAGTATATTTTTCATAGACCATTGTGTATATACTGTATCTGTGCAATGTAGGAGAGAAAAACTATGAATATTCTGTATAGTTGCTGTATGTACTGATAGGCACTTGATAGGCATATTCCCTATATCCCACAAGGTACTGTATACTCTAGCTGCAATTATGTCTTTATCAAACTATCTGAAAATGTATTCTTCATCTGTGTGGAGATGGTGATACTTAAATATATATAGTATATTTGTAAGAAGTTATCTATTTCACTCTTATGTGTACTGTAGAAGACCAAAAAAAAAAAAAAAATGATGCAGTTAAGTATTATCTGAATGTTTTCATGTGTTTTCTGTATTCTACTCTTAAGTTTGTGACTTTATTCAAGCTTAAATAAAAAAAGATCTGACTTAAAAATGTGTGGAGACAGACTGAAAGACGAACAGGAAGACAGACGCAAGCTTATCAGAATAAAATGAACCTGTTCCTTTACTCAACGCGACCCCTCACCATTACTATCTTCCATTTCCTTGTTTTCATCTCAATGCAAAGCATATAAGCATATATAGTACACTGTGAAATATGACTCAATAACTGACTATCCTTTATCCAGCTGCGTGAAGCTATGTATGTATAAACAACACCACTATGATCACCATAAAAAAATGAAACAAAAGAAGCAGGAGGAAGTCTGAAATAAAGAAGTATAATGATGAATTAAACATACTGCAAGAAGGACAACAATGTACTGTAGACCCTGTGTCTCTACACTATAAACAAAACATGAACAGTAATATATTTGAAACACAATACAAACAGCTGCAGGCTCAAGGCTATTATCTACGTTTTCAATATGTTCTGTTCTGGAAAATATGCGAACACTTTGCAAACAGAAAGTCTAGACTTTTTTCTTTTTTTTTTCAAACTAACAACTAGAAGAAGCACGATTGAGATAAGGACTTATTTTCTGGATAATGTTGCAACTTTTCAACAATTTTTCAACCAACTTTTTCTGCAACACTGAGAAAAGAGAATTAAGCACCACCACGAGTAGCTGAAGCAGTATAAGGAATATATAACTATGGACAGTGAAGAGCGTGTGATGCTAATGCAACAGGGGAAGGAGCTGGGGAAGGGGGGTGGGGGGGGGGGTTAAAAAGCCTGGGTATGCTATAGCACGTTATGACACACTGGAGAGAAGGTTCTTCCCCTTCCAAGCCTGGTCTGCTATCAAACACCTTATGATACAAGAAGTCAACTGACGATGGGACGAGTTATTAGCCCTCATCCGGATAACGTTGAGATTGGCTACTTTTGTTATTCCAAAAAAAAAAAAAAAAAAAGAAAAAGAAAAGAGAAAGAGAGAAACGTTTGATAGTGTAATTCTGAAATCAAATATTTCAAAAAACCAACATCGAGCTACTTAACCTACTATTTAGACCAATGATACCACAAAGCTGGTTGTACTCATCTAGCTACAGTCAATAGTGCATTTGATATATGTGTTTACACAAAATATGTAAAATTTAGGTGCCATGAAGGAATGCTAGATTACTGAATACACACGTTACACTGAAACAATTCAATTTAATGTCTCTGCCTTCGCTTTCAAAGAAGTGACGATGTTAGTTTGGCAGTGTTTAAACTTGGTACTGAACAGACAACAAACACCAACACCATGAGCTGTGTGCCATACATGTGGCAGTACTGTTGGAAAGAGATCTCGGCAGTTGCTTACATATTCTATTTAGTGCATTGTCTGTTAAGGCATGAGATTACCCTCCACGTGCTGTGTAGAGACAAATATAGCACTAGCATGCAGCAATATTGCCATCCTGGCAACAACAGCTACAAACAGGAACCATACAGTTTAGGCTTATATGCACACCATAGGAGACGGGCCCAATCAAATGTTAAATAATGTGCTACTTTTACTGAGGACTCACTATATTCTCATGTGTGGTTAATATAATATATATTTTCAAGATGAGGAGAAACCAGAATATCTCTCCAGGTCTCACATGTTCATCACTTGACTTCACTTCAGCTGACTCCACAGGGATCAGCAATCTAGTAGCAATTATGTGAAATTTAAAAAATGCTGGATAGAACTTCTCCAAACGGGTGCGATGAAGTACAACGGTACTTGACCCAGGCTTTCGTTAAATCTCGGAACAAATGTTACGGGTGCCGTATTCGCCCAAAAGGTTTGGAGAGCTGCTTCTCATAGTACCTGCGCTGCATATTGCAAAGGAAGCCCTACAGTTCAGATATTCCACTTATTAACAGTTTGATTAGGCTATATACCACACAGACACTCACAGACATACGAACACTAAGGAAGGGACACAACCGTCTACGACTGACAGACAGATATCAAAGAAGCTGCATTCCATCACCTCCCCACACCTTTAAACCCACACAAAGTTGTTCTAGGACACACATATCATTTATGTTACACACACACACATTATAAATGTATTATTATTATTAATAACATAATAATAGATATTATTATTACCTCCGCCAACAGAGTTGGACGGGAGTTGTGTTTATTATTACTGTTGCTGTTTCACTGTTAATGTTGTTTGGCTTGGATGTTCTGGTAGGAAAATTCTGTCTGTATCTAAAGAAATGAGATTGATTAACTATTATAGGGAACTGACTCCATAAAAAGAATGAATTCAAAGGTTAAAACATAGATGAGCACACGTAATGGTACATATTTAAATAAAAAAAAATGAATGCTTGCATTAACACGGCACGAGGATATACTGTAGGTAACTGCAAGCGATAACAAAAGCCAAGAACCGCTGAATTACTTAATGAATAAATTGAAACAAAGCTATTCTATTACATGTGAACTCTACAACCAAATGTTAGATTTAAAAAAAAAAATCCTCTTTTCTAAAACTATAATATCTCTGTTAACAGTAGTGCACTTATTGGTTTAAGCAGTGCAACATATATGCAAGAAAATAATGCAGTCCACTTATCAAGATTTAAAAAAATGTTTTTTACTCCTTTGAAATTGAATAAAAGAAAATCATAGAAGTTCATTTAAGGAAAAATGATTAAATATTAAGCACAGGCATTTTAAGAAAATGTGCAAAGTAGCACTTTGTTGTTTTTTTTCCTTGAATCCACAGCAGGTCTTTTCAAGACCGCTGTATGCAGTTAGTTATTCTTTTAACAATACAACTACGAAAGTGTTTGCTCACATAAATGAGCAAATCCTTCAGATTGCAGTTGCAGGTAGTTGCATGTGTGTGTGTGTGTGTGTGTGTGTGTGTGTGTGTGTGTGTGTGTGTGTGTCCTATTTCGATTAAAAGCAATACAAAACAATTCAAATATCATAAATGAGCCTTACGTGATGTGATGCAGGGATGACAACTTGCGCACACTAGCTTCCAAATCTAACCTGTACATGCTGTGTCTAGGTTTTTTTTTTTTTAGAAAAATCAGGAATGTATACTATTGTCTAGAAAGTCCATCTGCAACTTGTGGTATATATCAGGAAACAGTGTGATTTTAATGGAGCTACTTGTTTTGCTTTGGGACTGTATTTCCTTTCAGAACGTTGCATGCCATTTGAGCCTTCAGGGAGAGCCAACACACAAAGAGTGATGCGTTCAGCTCCCACTTGCTGAAATAGCTTTGCAATAGTAATGAACAGGTAATACGGGGGTTCTAGGATCAGGATGGCATTTATTTCCCATTCAAATTTGATTGAAATTAAATCCCTCCCTCTTTAACACTGTTCCAATCAACAACAAGCCTAAACCCCCCCATTATTATAATTCGATTATCAAATTACAACCATGTCGGCTACTCAGTAATAATAGTTAAAGTGACAATTTGAATCTACATCCCATAACAGTCAGGTGCAAGTTGAAGAGCAGCAATTATGAAGGAGAGAGTTTAGTCGCATATGCCAGCCTGCCATAACTGTGAATGTGAAAGGCTAAGAACAAAAAAAAAACATCAGCAAAAGAATCTTTCTTTTTTTCTCATGTTTTGAAATGGAAGAGGTCTACTAGCCTTAACAGTCTTTTAGGATATTAGTGGCAGTGTATGCAAATGAGTTAAACTCCAAACTTCAGAAAAAAAGAAACATATTTTTGCTCAAATACTGTCTCATCAACACACCCTAATTTAGTAAACGTAATCTTAACCATCAAAATGCATGGACAACAATTACAAAACATAGTGAGAAATATACGTCCCTGTCGCAACCGACAGGAAGTTACATTTCAGTAAAATGATTGAAATTGGTACCTTGACAACAGCTGCATTATAATCCCTTAATACCATAGGAATAAATAAAACCCAGTGTCAAATTAACTACTCTCCGTTTTTTTTATTTTACATAAGAAGGCAATCTTGTGACCATCAGTATTTTTAGAAGGGAATATGTAGCCCAACCCCAGATGATTTTTTTGTTATTGTTGTTGTAAATTATACCACAGTAAGCTTGGACATCTATAGTTTCCAAACTGGTCAGTATGGGTTCACAACTGCCATGATTTATGTTTCACGGCATTGTACACACACACACACACACACACACACACACACACACACACACACGCACGCACACACAGACACACACAGACACACACACACACACACACACACACACACACACACGCTCGGACAAACAGACAGACACATGCAAATACACCGACACTCATATATACACATGTATATTCATTCAGACATGTCTACACTAAAGGTGTGTTTGTGTGTATGTGTTTCTTTCGTAGGCCTTTCGGTAGTGTTCAACACATAAATCAGTATTTTAGGAAAGCATACATTTAGAGGCCTGTAGTTAGGATCCATCCAGTAGATCAATATCAAACTACTAAGCCTTAAGGCCACCATCTTTTTTTTCTTTTAGAATAACAGAAAAAAAAAAAAAAAAAATTTGGGAAACTTAATGTGCCAGTGTCTATACTCATTACTCTTCATACCTCAAAATAAGAAAAGGAAAATCTAGTGCCATTTTATTTGTCATTCTTTTTGAAAGAAGTTTATCTATTAGTACTTATCCATCGGAGACATGCATTCGCATGTGGTCATTGAAGTGCTCCATTTGGTCGAACTTGGCAGGGCAGACGGAGCACACGTAGGTGGTCCCTTCTTGGCAGCTCGCTTCTGCAGCTACACCCACTCCTGTTCCAACCCCAGCCCCTACTCCAGCACCTCCGCTCACTGGCATGGCGAGGGCCACCACTCCAGCTCCAGGCTCAGGGACAGCCATAGGCATGGGAATGGAGACTGGGCCCGGGGTGCCTGCGCTCCCCGACAGCCCTGTGATGGCGCTGCCTGTGCTGTGCAGGGCCATGTGCCTCTCCAGCAGGGTCTTGTGTGAGAACTTTTTCTTGCAGATGTAGCACTCATAGGACTTCTCTCCACGGTGCAGCCGCATGTGGACATTGAGAGAGCTCTTCTGGGTGAAGCGCTTGTTGCAGATGCTGCACTGGTAGGCCCGCACCCCTGTGTGTGTCACCATGTGTTTGATTAAGTAATCCTTCAGGGAGAACGAGCGCCAGCAGATGCTGCACTGATGAGGCTTCTCACCTGGATGTACATGTAAGACAAAAGCATTAAGGGGAAAAAAAGAAGAGACACATTTTGAGGATTAGGTTTACAAAACATGGAAGAACATGTGCAGACACGTTTGATGCCTGAAGCCCCCTGTGTTACGTTTCCAGTACTGGAACATACATCCACCTAGAGTTATATAAACCTGTATCAGCTGTGTCATGATGCTGGTTCCACTCTGTGCTGTGTGCTTCAGCTTTGTGAGAAAAAGATTTCCTATAATCAGCTCTGATGCAGTTATGGCAACATGTGCCCATTGTCATTAATATTTTATGAAAAGTAAAAATTGCTGTAATGACTTTACAGGCATAGAAAGGTGCAGCTACAGGGAAGAATTAAAAAAACACACAATAATGTTCATTCCCATTCGATCATGATCCAAATAATTTATGCATCCATTTGGTATTTCTGTCACTTTGTTCAGACGTAAGCTCATTTTACACAATTGTCTCTGCTAACGTTATCGGCTGTAAAATATTATCATATTAATAATTCGGCAAACCTAACAGGTAGAGGAAGAGACTGACAACACTGCGAACAGTCAAGTTGCGTCACGCAAGTTAATGAAGTCCTGTGTATCTACTGTTTGCTGCTGCACTGAGTGAATTAATGTGGAGCTACCTGCTTTGATTTAATGAAGCCAGTAATTTATACTTATATTTCATCACTTATATTTAACTTTTATTTTTTTCTGGAGCTGCTCCGACCAGGTACAGATCAGTGATCACACATAGCATGGAGCTGGCACATATATAACAGGTGTATTTACTGTCTATTTTTACGTTTATATTTGCAATACAATGACTCATACAACTGAAAAGCTTTTTCCTTTGTCTTTTTATTGCAGCCAATGACACACATGTGTATCATGTATTGGTGTGTGTGTTGTGCAAATTCATATTTTTAGGAATTTTCAGTCTTTTTAAATGACTGTTGAAGGTCTTTTTTACACCCTCATCTTACATCAAGGTGCCTTTTGAAGAGGTCATCTATTATATTTGACAAAATATCTCTTGATTACCTTTTTTTAATGAATAATATGTTGGGGATTTTTAGACGGTTAAGTAACGCTCTGCCATGAGACGTTCAGCTCTTGATCAGTGACGTTTCTTCACAACATGCACCACTCTGCTTCTCACAGTTGTGTGAGTAAAACTGGGAAAAAAAACTGGTTTTAAATAGCCGTCACAGGTGGATCTGTCCAAGCCATACGTTCTAATGAATAATAATTGCTATCTGAGAAGGCCATTTTTGTGAGATCATGTAATTATATGATATCTAATTCTTTCTATCTGTGATGATGATTTCTACAGTTTATGACTGATAAGGCTGTCAGTGCTTGAGGACAGCAGTGCACGGTGTAATGATGTGCTGCAAGAGCAATCTACTGACACGCTACAGTCACACACAGTCAGCTGTGACCTAATAAATGTGTATTTGTGAGGCTCTGTTTTCAAACTTTTCCAGTATAAAAGCTTAGCTAACACACTAACATTATACATTATATGTTTTATGTACTAATGTTCACAGTGTGCATTTTGTCACTTGTGTATTATGTTAAAAGGGAACAGCTTTATTGCTACAGTAACATTTGTCACTGTAATAAATATGATTTTTTTTAAAATACTGTTTTGTATCATGATGAAGAAACACACTTCTATAACATGGTGTAAGTATGAGGAGTAGAACAAAGGTTTTCATATCATAACTGAAATAAGACCTCTGATGTTACAGTCTTTCACCCAATAACCAAAAATATTTCTATTATATTTCTACTGCTACATTACAGCCACCATCTGCATCAACTATGGGTAACACAATAATTTTACTGGGCTTACTAACGTAGAATAAAAATCTTCACTACTAGACATTTGGACTTACCAGTATGGACAAACATGTGTTTGACGTAGTTCTGTTTAGCAGTAAAGGTTTTACTGCAGAGAGTGCATTCATAGGGCTTCTTTTCTCCCGAACCGATTCCTCCGACAGCCTGTTGCTGCTGAGCTGGCGCTTGCTGTACCGACATGGGGTTCGGGAATGATGGCATTGCAGGGGGCGGCACTGCCACAAACTGGGGTTGCTGCTGGCCAGGAAGGTAAAATACAGGCTTGTCTCTAGCCGGCTGTGTAGGAAAGAGTGTGGGCAGGAAGGTGCTTCCAGCAGTGCCCATCACTTGGGAATTGCTGGTCACTGTGAGCGGCATCCTCAGATTGCTGGTGTGTGATTCTGCCGGCCGCATGTAGTGCTGGGCACTTGGCAGGGACTGGGACATGACTGAGTTTGGCAGGGGCTGCATCATGCTACTGTCACTAGTGCTGTGGGATGTGTCTCCTTCCTCCGTTTCTTGCAACTGCTCCGGGGATGAGTCATTGACCTCTATCTGCACTGGACCTCCATCACCTTGCTGACTGTCCCCGCCCCCGTCTCGGCCAAAGCCCGTCAGGTACGGCTGCTGCTCCATAGCATCTGGCTCAGTACTGATGGAGGAGCTCACCCCTGAGTCAAAACTTTCAACCTTGGATTCACCCTCCACACCCTCAGTATGGTCAGTGTCGTCTTGGCAGTCCCCCAAATTATCGTAGCAGCTGTACTCATCTTCGGCCTCCTGCTTTATGTGCATCCCTCCTGTTTGTATGCGTACCGGTCGGGGTTGCTTGCGGCAGTGAGTGGACTCCGCCGTAGAGATGAAGCGGTCGACCTGCTGAGATCTCTCCTGGATGCGGTTCATCCAGGGCGGATCTTGAGATTGCTGGTCCTTCTGAGTGCTGAGAGTCGGATCGTAATTTGTTGACATAGGGTTAATGTACAGGGGGCGCTCGCGGGTGCCATTCTGCAGAGTGAGGCCGGGGTAGGAGTACAGTGATGTGTATGCACGGTCCATGCTTTGTGATGTTGCTTGCATATAACCTGACTCTGCGTCGCTGCTGGGCCCCGAGGTGCCAGACTCTGGTGTGCCACGGGGAGTTTCCTGACCAGAGTCTCCTGGTATAACAGGGAACCCCCCCGGCCCAGCCAAGCCAACATTCTGGGACACGATGCGTGTACACTCATCAATGACGGTCTTGATCTGTAGGATGCTGGCGGCAGTGAGGATCTGCAGGGCCTCGGACTGAGATACCCGCAGAATCCCACTGTACATAAAGTCAATCAGCTTTTGGATGGACTGCACTGAGACCACAGAAGGGATCTCAATGTCGCTGTAGCCCAAGAGCAGCTTGTCCTGAAAGAAGGGGCTTCCAGCAGCCAGCACGCACCGGTGAGCTCGCAGCATACTTCCATGGATCCGAACAGTCACGTCACAGAAGTGCCCACGGTTGCGCTGCTCATTGAGGGTCTCAAGTACAGAATTGCTGAAGTTGTGGAGATTGATGTTATGAATGCGCTCGGTCATCCCCTTGCAACTGATGTCACCTGGAAGCAGGAAGCAACACACCCGACTTAAAACCTCGGACACATACAACCACAAAAACAAGGGGACAGGTTTCCTTTTCATTTTTGGGCGGGGAGGACATATGAAACAAAGGATTTGGGGTCCTCTGCCAGAATAATTTTATCTTCAAACACTTAATTTCCTGCATTCTGGTAAATTTTTATGTAACAATTTGTGCCTTGTCTGCATCATCTATGATTTAAATATCTTTAACATTGTCAAAATTAAACTCCTCTGCTACTATAATGTCTTTCGTGTCCCCTGTGTCCCCCTGAAATCGATGCCTATGCACAAACACAATTAACTAGACTGGTTGTAATAAGGATTCTCACATATATTAACATTGTTAGTTTACATTATTACTGTTATATTAGGGATAATAAAACAATGTAATTGAACAAGTAAGTATACACGGATAGTTATTAGCAAATGCATCACAAAGACAAGCTAATTTTTGGCTGTATTTCTAAAAACACAACCAAGTCACAGCGCTGCAGTTAAATATATCAGTAATATCGATGCTTATTATAAACAGACACAAAAGGTCAAACCATAATACAGATATGGTAATTCCAATTTTGTCCCCCTCAGTCCGGTCTTTAATTTTAGGATGAGAATCAAATTATCAGAGCTAAATTTGTCTCTTGAATCATGGTTTAAAAATTTCACATTGACAAGGTGAAAGACAATTAAGATGGTTCCCGTCTAATTATTATTACAAGTTTCTCTCACCATGTGTGTGTTCCTGAAATTCCTCCAACCACCATTAGGTGGCGCACTGGGCTTAGATGACAACAGGCCTCTTTTGTTAGCCATGTGTTCACTGTGATGGCGCTTCCTAACTATCCTAGGAATACACTAGATGTGACCCGGCTGATCAGCGTGGAAGATAACTTAAGATGCCTTCCTCCCCATTTGGATGTTAAAAGAAATGAAAATATGAATCTAAATGAGATATAGGTAGTAAGAGTAAGTATTATGCAAATTGTGGGTTTCCATAATTGCTGTTGAATTAATTTTTTTTGCGTATTAACATGCTTGAGTGTAATGTAATTAAAGTGGTTGACCTTATTTGAATGATTGTAAAACACAACCCTTTTCTTGAAACCAAGATAAATGTCCTCATTTTGAGTCTGGAAACTGTACAAAACCATGTTGTAAATGTTGTGGATAATTCATTTTACACCATGTCTGTCAATGAATAACAAATATGTTTATGAAAACGTATTGGTGGTGAAATATCAGAATCAATACACAACGTTGTCTGTGTGACAAAAAAATGTGAACATGTGGAGAAATGCTTTATAATTTGGAATGCAGTTATGAATCGGATAGAAATAAACTGAAGAGTGGTACTGACAGTGAAACCAAATTTGATAGTTAGAGATTTGTCTATCCAAATGATGTGGAATTCAGCTGAAACATGCTGCAGAAGCAGTGCAATAGTGTTAGCACAAAGTCTGAATGCCTGTTTCCAGCTAAGTTATTTCTAACTTACACGCAAAGGGGAAAAAATAAAAAACAGAGGCAGTCCAGTACTCACAGTTAGATGACGTTTTGTTCCGAAGATGCTTGTGTGGCTGGTGATGAAGTGCGGGTCAAGCTTCAGTTTGCTGGTGGAGATGGCTGATCAGAGGCCGGGTGCTAGGCAAGGCTGTCAGTCCTCTCTGTCCAAATCATGTGTTGCTCTGCCACAGTGTTTGGAAAGGGGGGGGGGGAGAAAAGACAAAGACAAATCTTAATGCCACATACTGCCTCGTCGATATTGCCACTCCCTTAATGAACCGGGAGCCACAGTAACACAAATATCTTCAGCAGACACGCTGCAACAGATGTGTGAAGAGTTTTCAAAGAGAGACGAATGGACGTTCCTGTGTGCACATGACATCCAATTACAAATCGAGGTTGAATATAATATTGGTATTAGAGCCAGTTCTTCTATCGGCAGTTATCTAAGCCGCTGGGCAACAAAACCACACCCTTACCAAGGAAAGCGATCTCAATTCCGTATAAATTAATCTAGATTAAATATTCTGGAAAAGGTCTTATGTACACACACACACTACAAAGTGTGTGTGTGTACATGTGTGTGGTGTGTGTGTGTGACGTGTTCTTTTTCATTTTCAAATTCACAAATTCAACAAGACGATGCCCAAAACAGACGTGGAGCAGACATCTGAAGTTGTAATAATAGATAAAAGTCACATATTAAACACACAAGGCATTCATTGAAAAACACAAGACAGGCATTCAACAACATTGAGCATGTGATGGGCTGGTTTGGTGACGCTAAGAAAGCCTCACACAATTGCTCCCATACTGTACACACACACATTGATATGCAGGTTTGACCTCAGAGTGGAAACAAAATGATGTAACAGCGACCACATTAAAGCCACAAATAATGGTATCATTTAAGGTCAAGGAAGAGCGGAGAAAAAAATGGCGCTGAACCAATGAAAAAACACAATTTATCTCTTATTAGTCCCATACTGGTCGGAGCGCCCTCAAACATTTCCACCAACAGAGCTTTAAGTATGTGGAAATTACAGCCTGTGTCAGGATGTGAATATTTATCATTCGTTGGAGTTTGGATCACGATTACAAGTGCGATCTGACACTCTTAAATATTTTTTGGAAATAGTAAAAAAACGTTTCGTAGCTGTCACGCTGGCTACAACACGAACACCAAGTGCTCTCTGTGAAATGCCAGTAACAACAGTGTGTTGCTGAATGAACAGAGCGAGGCGAGGATTTGACCAGACCTGCACGTTAATGTTGACACACATATTATTCTTTTACAAATCTCAAGCACTTTCAAAGAATAGACCTCCCGCTTTGAGACAGAATCTTCAGATGAAAAGTATGTGATTTTAAAGCAAGTGACCTCTGTGTTAGGTGTCAAGGTAACAGATACACATTAGAGCTTGAATGCGGCTCCAAAATGGTCAAACAAGAAGATTATTTTATCGATAGTTAAGTACAGAGAAGCAGAGTATTCGGGGGGAGAGCCAGAGTGGAGAGGTTAAAGTGTAAAAACTGAAATAGCTGCGTTCACAGGCTGCTTTGTGCCCACAGGCCTCACATTGAGAAGTGCAGCGGGCAGCGAGACGTGCACTTGCTTTCTTGAAATGTCCTTGTCAACTAACAAATCTGATGATTAGATATAGACAAGTAATGGCGTGTTTAGCAGCAGAGGGTGATCACTCGATACTGAGGCGGATTATTCTTTGGCACTAAGACACACACACACCGCACACACACACACATGCTGGTTAGTTCCCCTGCCTTGGTCAGGCCAGAAAATACATTTTACAGTTAAATCCTGAACCCCTAAATCTGAAATTAAACTTGAACCCTTTTCTTAAGCTTTAGCTGTAAACGTAACTCTAACTGTAACCATAAGGCCTTTTATTATGGAGCCTAAAACCCAAACATGAGCCTTGTTCTATTACCAAACTTAAAAACTAGATCTAACCCAAGCTATAAATCCTCCTGTAGGTGTAACCCATGTGAAAACCAACAAAAATATCATGTTAAAGCCTTCTCTTTAAAGTACCGTGCACACACACACACACACACAAGCCAAAATACTCGAATCCATAACAGTGGCAAATATTTGACCTTTTTTTTCCTTCTCCTACAGCAGTTAGCTTGAGTTGTAACTGTATTCTGATGCCATGGGCCCTATTTTTTTTTTTTTTTTCATGCCTACTGTTAGACAATGCAAACATATATGTTCCCTCACTGGCTTCCCTCGCCCATCCAGACATGTAAATCCACCTGCCTAAGGGGTAAAGTGAGGTGAATGCTGGCAACAAAGGAGCAGGCCAAGGGAAGCAGGCCTCAGTTGCCCAGACTGCCACTCACAACAGTGATTCCATTTTAGCCGTGACACAGTGGGTGAGCAGCAGCCAGCGCCTACCTGCAGTGAATTCTAATCAGCCCAGGGGTCTGTCTCCCTCCCTCCCTCCCTCCCTCCTGTACCCTGCCTTGGACTAAAGGGGCTGATGATCCTTCAAAATTAATTAGATCCTTGTAGGAGGCAGCCATTTTCTTTCACTTCCCAACGCTCCACCAAAAAAACAAATTTCTGAATTAAACTAAATTCGGGGTGTGTATTTTCCCCTCCTCGTATTGATCTCGCTCTCTGTGTGCCTCTACCTGTTTCCTGTTTCATCACGTCGAAACTCTCTCGCCGTCTTTTCTTCCATCTGTCTGTCTCTCCGTCTGTGCCCCCTCCTCTTCCTCCCTCCCTCCCTACGAAACCTTTCCCCAACACCCTCCGCCCCTCTCTGGCTGCCTCTCCATGCTCCCAGCTCTGTGTCTGCCTCTGTGGAGTTTGCTGTCAATAAATCCCCAGAGGTCAGTTTGTCTGCTGGAAATCAGACACAATGCTTCAGACCGCCAATGCAATGCATGCTCTGCTGCTGCCGCCACAACAAAGACTGAGGAGGGGGGGGTGGTGGTGGTGGTGGTGGTGGTGGTGGTGGAGGGTGGGGAAGAGGTGGGGGCAAAAAAAAAAAAAAATATGAAGACAGGGAGACGAGGGTTGCAACTTCACCAGCCAGACTCCAGGTTAATCAGCTGCCTGTATTAGGTGACAAGCTCATGAAATACGCTGCATCGAATTGGACATTAGTTAATCAAGGGTGGGGTGGGGGGTGTTGGAGGGGGGTTAAAATGGTGAGGATGGGGGATGGGGTTGAGAACAGACATAAGAGGCGTGCTTTATGAAAGGAGCAGTATCAGCCATGTGAATAATATACATCCTGAATATGCAAATACTGCTTACAACACACACTACAAGCATATATTCAAGGCCCTTGATACATTTAAATCTGGAGACAAAAGGCCCACAGGGCATTGTGGAAAAGCTCATGTCCATGCGTGTGCATACAGCACCTCCACGAATCTGATGCAGATTTGCACTTATCAAGAGTGTTTTGTGTTGCACCTAATTAATAGTAATTTATGAGTTTGTTTGAAATCTCTGCTGCTTAACCATCGCTGTCCAACATTGTAATTATTAATTTCAATCATCCATTTAGCCCAAGTGCATTAGCATATAAACTGCCAGAAATCATGCTTTAATAGTATGGTTTGAGTATGTGATCTAATGTGATTTAGTACACAATGTAAATGTGTAGCAAGCACGCTGAGAAATTTGAAGCAATATTCAAGTGTTGCTCTGACAATTCAAGGTGTGTTCAATAAAGACACAGAATGTTTATTATGCAATTTACGGCTGCGGCTCGCCGTAATCAGTCAACATCTCAAACTTTTCTGAAAAATAAATCAAATTATACCTCAGCTAATGCTACTGTGTCTTGGCTCCCTTTGATCAGCACAATTAAAAATTATTCTTTCAGGTAACTGAATATTCATCTCCGCCCAACAATGTTGTGTTGGCTGATTGAATCTGAGTAATTTGGAGCGCCGTGTCTCTTATTACATTCGAGTGTTCGTCTATAACGTTGTGAAGCAATTAACAGGTAAGGTAACTAATGCAGCTAAATCACACACACACACACATTTATCGGGAGACGTGGCAGAAAACACCTCACAGTCTCGAAATTTAATTGATTTGCCTTTATAGCAGTCACTGAAAATCATCAACAAGCACGTAGGCAGTTGACAAGTTGAGCCAAGATTTTTTACACTTTTTTTTCTTTCATTCTCCCTTCCTTCTCCCCTGACTGAGATTATATGGTGTTAACACCACATCACCAATGAGATATTCTCTTGAAATGTGTCTAAATGTCTGATGATAATTTAAAACATGTATGAGTTACATGTGAACCAAGTGTTGTCCTAACAATTTTGACATAAAACTCGTTCCTGTACTTTGAACTGACTCTTCACCTACAACACAGCCCAGTGATTCTTCCTTCACAACTACAGTTTCGATTTCAACCTCACCACCAGGGACAGTTTAAAAATATGCAAACGCTGTAAAACAGCATTCCATTAATTCACAACCGTTTTTTTTTTTTTCCTGATGTGAATGCTCTCCTACTTGGTCAAAGCATTGTGAAGTAATTACAGCGTGCCAGTGTAATGCTATGGCCACTGCTCAATCGAGATTGCTTGAATAACTGCGTTTCTGTACATCATACACTAACTGGGACTGTTGTTAACTCTTTATTGTCGCCATAAATTTAATCAGACTGTTCATGTTTAGTTCCGCTGCCACTAAAATGACTCAAATAGCACAGCAGATCAATGTGATAACACATTCAGTCCAACTGAAAGCCAATCAAATGTGACAGGATGTGCGGCTTTCAAATAAATTCCTCGAGCAAACAAATACCAACACACACTACAATGCCATTACACAAGTAAAGGACAGTTTAAATATTTTTTTGACAGGACAGCTTGTTCAACTTCGTCATTTTCTGTCAAAAACACACCCACCACCACCCGTTATCCATAGCAGATCCTTTGTCTATTTACAGATGGGAGGATAATCTACTTCTAATATACTTTTTTTCAGGCACACAAACAGTCATGAATTAGTGGCATCAGTAAATGTTCCACGCTGTATTTTAGGAAGTTTCCAAAAGGAGTGTAGAGGGCAAAAAACAAACAGCCACTGTTGGCTTACGGCCATTAAAATTATAAAAGACAGTATTTCGCTTTGGTGCTGGAAAGGACGCTTTCAAGAAGAATCTCAGAACTGGCAAAT